ACTCTGCTGAGCTCTTGTGTGGGACTTTAACAAAGCATAAATGCTTAATGGTGTGTTCTAAATGATTTTCAGACTTTCCGATTTGAGTATCATTATGCTTAATGTAAATGGTACGAAAGGTCAATAAGACATTGTGGGGATCTTCAATGAGTTCACTGAGTTTTGCGCGGTTGTTGCATGTTTAATTGTGCTTAAATAGGAGCATTCTGTGCAAAATTCCATCAATAGCTGAACAAGAATATCATATTCTTGAGTAAAACTTGGATAAGACGCACTTCCATCTGATCCGTGCAGTGAATTTTCTGCCGAGAGAGCCTCCTTGAGCACTCAAGCCTGTATTCAACATACAATTATTGCTCTGTTTGATTGGGTAGCCACATTTTCATGCATATAGCGTACATGTATCTGAATAAATTAATAACTAATATCATCTCAACTGACATTTCTATCGCTTCTCATATGGGCGGGATGTTGATTTTGTGTGCCGGGGATGAATTTCACATGAAGCGCGAAGTGAATAATGAGCCTTTCTCCACTTTGCTCCTTATCTCTTTGTTTAGTTGTGGCTTTTTGCCGTGTCTCTCAGATACTATCCGAGAGCATTGTTGCCATTTATCGAATGTTCACATGTGTGGCAATAGAATCTTTCCCACTGTAGATTTTCATGGTGTATTTTATTGTCGCATACTTTCTTCCCATGCCCTCTTCCGCTTCCCCCTTTGGATGTATTATACATATTTATGATGTGCGAGATGGGAGCAGTTTTGACATGTTCCACAACATCACATAACATATCCCATGGCTGAAGGGTAAGGAGAGTTTTAGAATTCCGTCGCTGTGTGAAATAGCTTATTGACTATCTCAAAGTGAAAGCGAGCGGGTGTGAGAAATGTGAGCCCCATGGAGCAAAATGAGAGTTTGTGGCAAAACAATGGGAGGAAAAACAAGTACTATGCTCTCCTCTTGTGCACACGATATAGACTTTCTTTATGTGAATCCTCTCCCGCCCACTATATTTTAGACTCAATACAATGTGTATTGTAATAGATAAATAAAATGGTGAAGTGGTACAAGAACATCCACTAGAAAGTGAGTATATTCCGCCCGAAAGGGCTTAGATTAATGATTCTCCTACGAGATGGCTCAGACAGTTTCCGCTATAGCGTGTATTTCTTGCATCTCATACGAGAACTCGTTGATGTTTCTACCATTCGGGACAGACTTTAGCTGCTCTTAGCATTGCAGATGCGAGATAGGATCGCCTTTCAATTATGAAAGTGCTGTTTGGGAAATGGAAATCGTTAAGCTCAAATGGCGTTTGAAAGCAATTCCGAAAGTTGCTTGCGACGTTCTTAAACCTAACCTCAGAAGCTTATTTGTAGTCAGAATACGGCCAGCATAGGCTGTGCACTTCCCTTATATGTGGCTCAATATTTACATCACAACTTTCCATAGGAATGATCATTACTTTTCCTGATGCCGTAGCAAATATTCCCGCAGGGAGTAGGATAATCAAGAGTGAATTCTCATCTCCGTTACAGCCAACTCTGGACTGTTGGGCTCAGCTCAATATTTGTCTCAATGTTGCCTCTCACATGTGAACAGAATATTGGAAACATTTCCGTTGGCAAATTGATGTGTATCTTTTCTGAGGGCAAGGAGGGGAGACTATTAGATCTGGAGCCACCACCCCCTATTCTGCCGGGGATTCTCTGTGATGTCTCAAGAATGCCGAGGGAAAATGTCAGATGCTGGTAAAGTGGGTGCTGCAGTATGTTAAGACACAGAGAATGGCTGAATTGAATTCAATTTGAAAGTTAAGATGGTGCGGGTGCTAGTAATTTATTTTTCGCAATGACTAATGCATTCTCACAGCCACGAAATACCTTTCTGACATGTCGAATGGAGAGGGTGTTGTTTTCCCGCGTGGCTTTTCTCTGGCACACAATTCACTTCCCAACCCACAGCGCCCAAATTGTGGCTGAATGATGGAAATGCAATTTAAAACAAGACATATATATATAGTGTCTTTGAGAGCGGGAATTTTTATTATAAAGTTTTCGGGCGTCTTCACCACGATAGAGTCTTTGATCAACAAGTTCATCACTTTCTTTGGTGACTCCAGAGGAGAAATTGACAACTTTGCCTCAAAATGAAAACTTTCAAAACTTTGGGTTCTCTCAGCCCAGCGCTTTTAAGTCTTCTCTCCAGATTTCTTCATTGGACAAGATCATTGACGGGTCACTGCACTCCTTCCCAATTCATATTGCTGACGTGTGCGATATATGTAGGAGTGAAGCGAGTCATGAAAAAGAAATCAAGTTCAATCAATGCGAATACCTTCAGTGAATTTTCACTTGAGAGGTTTCTCTGTATGCGAGGGACTTAAAATGAAATAAAAATTCATAGTCGCGTGACAACAGCACAATAATACAAATCATACTTATTGTGTCGCTTGAAATGCTGTCTTTGGCAGCATAGAGAATCACAGCGCGCGGGGCGAGTCAATTGAAAGGATGCAGAGTCCTTTTGGAAAATATTTTGAACCCACGCCATCAGCGACAGTGACATGTTCACAGGAAGTAGGGAGCATCTTGTAATCTATTTATGGGAATTTCGATTGGAGAAAATGAATATTTCACAAACACTTTGACCTCTTGGCTCAATAATTCAACCACAAAATTATCATTTATCACAATTACTGATCCTACTTTACTTAGTGTACAGTCAAAGTAGCGAATTTATGCATTACATATAACCATGTAACAAGAGCGAATTGAATTATTTATGTGACGGGAAATGAAATGAAGTAATGCAATCTGCTTAATTTTCCACACACGCTCTCAATGGTAAAAGAATAGGCGACAGCAAGAGTGAGCAATAAATAAAGTTGGCAGATGAAAGCTCTCAAGTTTCTCACAGTCGCTAAAAAAAATAGCTAAATTAGATGTTGACTTTTGCAGTGAAGTAAATTTTGATACAAGACTTCACAGCTAATGCTCACCCAAATGTGGGTGGCAAATCAATTCGTCCATTAATATGAATCGGGCGGAAGGACACAATACAGATCCTGGTGGATGTGACACAAAAGGGAAGATGCTCAGCGATAGCACAAGATGATGAAGAGAGATCTTTCCATTATTTGCAAAATACCAACCTTCGAGGCATGATTAAAAGGGAAGGGTGACAATGACTGAGTTGTCATGGTGGTATCTACCACACACACACACACACTGTATAAAGGGGTAATTTTACATTAAAATCATGCGGATGAATGTCGTCTCTTCACCATGATTTTCCTTTAGGGAGGCATCTTCCTGCGTTATGTCTTGTCTGTCTGGAGACAAGCTCTCTCCATGAGGTGAAATGACCTATTTACGGAATTTAATTTTCAACGTCATCTTCTGAACACGTCACACACGCCCAATGCATGTGTGGGGTAAGTCGTGAGATAATAGATACTACGCCCTTCTCTCCCTTTATAATCCCATTGACTTAATACGATTCACCATTATTATTTTTACTAGAAACTCACACATCCACGGCATACACACACAGCACACAAACACCAACACACATCATGCAAAGTACTTCAAGTGTAGAGAAATTTTTAATAACGACTTTAGAACATGTTCCACGGTCGGAGGGTTCATTTTGCATCAACTACCAATAAATACCACATGATGTTGCTTTTTGATCCAATAACAACGTCACGGGAAAGTATGCATTATGAAGCAAGGTGCTTTTCAGTTATGCATATCAAAGTGCACATAGTAATAGGGAAAAGAATGTCACAAACTCCATTTTATTTTAGAGAATCTTTCATGGAACTTTGCTTGGTGCTTTTTTGCTGTGTCAATTAATTCTCTGTACTTATGCATAGTAAAGACCATTCAGATTTGACTTTAATCTCCGATCCATTGAAAAGTTAGTCCATAAATTGATCTCAAGCGTGAGCTTCCTCAATAAAAACATTCTTATTGTTGACACTGAGGGAAACAACATTTTGAAACATAAAACAAACAGAAGACGGGTTGCTGTGCACTGAAGGCAATTAAAATCTCCTTTCAAATGTTTTCGCGAGTAATAAAACTATGTTTTTTTTTCATACTAAATCTGAAAGTTGAAAAAAAAGTCATTAGACTAAAATGTTTCGAGCATTCGCACTCTCTCAGACATTCGTGGGTGGGTGAGAAAGTTGGGAAAAAAAGTTACATGGCAGGAAAGGAGGAAAAAAAAATCTCCTTCGAAGAAGATAAAGTATTTTTAAAAGAAACATTTTATCGACTGTTTTCCAAGTCATTTCAATGGAGATTGAGAACTGAGCTTCACCCCCAATGTTTTTTATGGTAAACAGATAGCTTTATGTGCACTTCACATCTTTTACAACTTTTGCCGAACAAGTGTAAAATATTTACAAAATATAGCAGAGACTTTAATATGCGTGGATCGAAGGAATTCCTTCAGTCAAAATCCATTAAATTCCGGAGAAAATATTTTGAGAAACACGATATTCCTCTTTGTGGATTTTGCTATCAAAACTTTCTAATGAATTGCTGAAGAAAGATATCTGTGGTAATTCAAAGGTGTTGTTCGCAGTATTATGTTCGCGCTTGGAAAGAACATGATAGAATTGAATGTTTATCGATAAATTAGCTGGTTGTACAGGATAAATTTGACGGGAAATCGTAATAATTCAATAAAATAAATTGGTATTTATCATGAATGAGCTGAAATTTAACTGAATGTGCGTCACACAATTTCAATAGATTTTCATGCCGCTGTATTGGATAAAAAAAAACAATATATGCCAAATCTCTATTAATATTTTTCTCTCTATGTTTTTTTTATTATCAGGATTCGAAAATCCAGTTAGAATTTTTGTCAGTTCTCTCAATGTCTAAATTGAGGTTTGAAAATTCATCAGAGGCAGAATTAAAATTTGCTGAATATTTCCTGCGTATCTGAATAAATGTTTAATTCAACGTCTCTCATCTTACCTCCTGCTGGTGCTACAATTGTGAAGAGATGGGCCAAGATGAGGGCCCTTACAAGGGCCAAAGCGTACATTTTTGCTAGAGGTTTCGACGACACTGCACAGGTGACACTCTCATTGCCATTTGTTCCTCTTCAGTGACTGTTGAATATCTATATTGAACGCGCGGGTTTGTGGAGAAAAATCTATATCCCTCTATCGCAATTCTCTCACCGACACACCTAATTTCCCTCCAAACTCGTATTCAATATCATGCTGCTTGCCACAAATTTTCACAGGTAAAATTCGCAGTGCTGGAAAGGTGTCCTTCTAATGTCTCGCTGCTGCCACTCGACAACTTTTATCACCTCATTATGTCTTACCTGTAACGACAGTGGAGGAGAAAAAAAGAGAATTGTGAATAAATAGACGATAATTTTCCAGCATTTTATATTGATCTTTTTCGCAAATGTCGCCCTCATTCAGCATTGAAATGTCCCTCGTGCCATTACCGTGGGAGTGAATAAAGTGACGATTGACTTTCCAACAAAGAATCTAATTAAATATGGAGATGTGTAAGGGAGAAATTTATTGGAGGCAATATTGGCACTGGGATGGGACTTCCAATCAACTTTATGAGATGTCAATTAGAAGTCCAAAGGTGTATTCGAAGTAAAATTCTAAATTGTGGAATGTTCATTAGCATTTTATTAACAAATTTGCTCGTTTTTCTGCACTCTTTTTATCTTTTTTTCTCTCATTCGCCCATGTTGATGTATCGCAAAAATATCTCATTAATATTCCTTCAGGGGGACTTTATCACAGAGTCCAAGCAAAATATACACGAATACATATTGAGAGAAAACAGCAAAAAAGCTCACGTCCCTTTGATGGAATAATGTGACATATACATCATGTTTTTCCCTCTATTGCTCTATTGACAGGGTGAGTGTTTGCAAAATGACGTGAATATTCAGCGTGTATCTCATGCAAAAGGCATTAAAAAGCATACACGCCGCATGGATCATAAACTAAAAGGGATAAAATAGCCACTTTGATGATTTTAGGATGGAAAATCATTGGAAAATGCTCAAAGCTACTCTGTGTGTGTGTGTATTGACTGCCATGTCTATACTATATTCACACATTTGCCCTCCACCCTTTCTGTCTGGACATAGCTTCACGGTGAAAAATGAGAAGCTTTTAGCTAGGAAAATGACAAGTTCAGAACTCTATTGCAGCCTCGAGCTTATGAGAATGTTGTTGAAAAAGCAATTTTCAGGTTCTGAAAATTATACACGCTCTTATCAAAGTTAATCGTACCTATAATATTTTCGCAAACCTCTTTTGCCCTATGTTTAAACTGCAGTTTCGGCTTTTCACTTCTCACTACATTATATATTTTTGAAAGGAAATATACGATGCGAAAGCTAAGTGAAATTTACAAGCTGCTCTTGACTCTAGAATGGCAGGGAATCAGCGGGAAATTCATTAAAATCCAACTTAGAAGTTTTAGTACTGCTATAAAAATTGAAAACAGTGTGATTTAACCCACACTTTCCTTGTGTGAGTCAAAGGTGAAAAAGCATGGATTCCAACGAAAATGTGCTGCGAAAGTGTTGCGTCGCTCCTTCTAATTTGCCATAGAGCGAAACCATCATTATTAAACTTGAATTTGCCAACCAGACTCACACGGGGCGTCGCATTATACGTCGCCCGGTGTGGTGGGGGCGACCCATCATTACTTATTTGTGTTCTCTAAACACACATTCGGAGCCACACCGCACGCCTCACCCCCAACGAGTCATTGTGACAGAGTGCAAATATAGAGCCCATCAGGCGCCACCTTTGAGGACGCACAATACATAACCTTTGTCTTGTGTGACATTTATGAGGAGACGAGCAGATATATCTGACAGCGTAAAATTCACCACAAAGCTTTTCATTATCTCAATGCTCCTCGGCAACCATAAGGAGTCTCTGCAGACGAGCACATGCGAGTAAAATTATTTTCCGTTTCCGCCCTTGTTGGATGGCAGAATTATTTTCGAAGCTTCCCCAACATTCCACACTATCTAACGGTGCGCTTCACAATTGCGAGACAGCAACACTTTTATTAAAATAGGAGTAAAAATAAAATACTTCCGAGTTCCGAGACCATAGAAAATTTGAAACAAACAGTTGTGCGATGTTGCAATTGTGAATTCGGACATGATTTGCTTCACTCGCTTCACTGCAAAATGTCCCCAAAAATTCATGGATCCTTTTAAATTTTCAAGAAAAAACTCTTACGTGCGCTTCAAGGAAATTGCTTGTGAATATTTTTACATCTCCTCTTAATATGTAATTTTCTTTTCATCCCATTCAATTTAATCACATCATGTAGCCAGGGGATTATGGCAGCGGGCTTCGTGAGTAATTCAATGCTGCGGCAGAACATAAATCTCTGTTGGTGTATGGGAGCAAAATATTGAAAATCATCCAAACGATAAGACCCCATTATTCTTGCAGAAGAAGGCAGCCAATCGATAAATTTGAGCCTGGATATGTATTATAATTGTGGTGGAACATAATTGAATGATTATTTCATTGTTTGCTTCCTCGACATTGTCCTGAGTAGTGCTTGCCGCTCGGATTTATCAACATTGTGATGCTGGGCAGTATTGAGAATATTAATAGCTTCAATTATTGCCGTTAAATTTATATAATTAGTTCATCTGATGAGCGATTTCGAAATAGGCGCACTCTATTCAATATCTCAACGTATGCAGGCAACTCAAGCCCTCACATTTGGCAGATTGCTGAGGTATTAGGTGCTCAGGGGGCGGCAAGCTGTCTTCTTAAATATCATATCTAACCAGTGAATGGCAGAGCTTATTTCATCAATTTGCACTTTCCGCCGAGATTCCGCAGTGTGAATGATGGAGTGGACAAAGTTTTAAGCTTCCTAAATTATGGTATTGTGCGGAGAGTCTCTATCAGATTAAACTTTTGAATTTATCTTTAATATATGGAACTGTTAAAGAGGGTCCCATTGTTGAATCCACATGGAGGACTTTAAAGTTTATGAGCCTTTTTTGCTCTCTTCCTCCCACTTAGTTTCTTTGGAAGTATGCGCTGAAAATATAGGGGTGTGTCGGGAGGAAGATAGAGGAATATCACAGGAGCTTAAACTCATCAACGCAACGTCCTTTGCCTTGTGATGTTCGGACTTTGATGGAGTTGTATTAATTAGAAATTAATTTAGCAGAGTGACAGCGGCAAAACACAGATGAAATGGGGAGCTTTGCTGCCTCAGGTGAATATGAATGGGAGCATAATACGCAACACTAAGGCATTACCTTGTGATTATTTGGCAGTGGTAAATATTGAATAAATTAAATGTGTGTCATGATTTCTTTGCCTGAAGGAAGAGGAACAATGTTAACAACCCTTTTGCTCTGGGTGAAAATGTCTCGCAAAGCCAAGGTTGGCAGACAATGAGCCTCCCCAAGCTCTCATTCTCGACTTAAAGTCTTTAATTTATCAGCATTAACACATCACAACTTGCCATTGTTGGAGGGGCTCAATGATAAATATTTGAGAGAATATAGAAGTTATATATTCTCCCTTGATGTACAAATAAAGTAATAAGCTCGCCAAGCTTTTTCCTGTCCCTGTCAGACTTTTGAATATTGTATCTTTCCTATGTATTGTGATGCACTGTTGAAATCAAGTGCAAAACTTTTGGATGCATTGAGATGCGCTCAATATTTCACAGAGCGAATAAATTATTCCAAACAATATTTGCTTGCAAAGAAACCACTGGTTGGTGTTGGATAAAGTTTTATTTACCATTTCCCGAACTTTTTCTGTCATGATATTGTTTTTTTTTAAGATTCCTCCTGGAGCTTATCAAAATTTTACAAGAGTGGAGCCAGAGAGAAAAACGGGGTTTCTCCACTCCGCCGAGTAGAGACTGAATCGTCCCTGGGGCTCCTTGGCCAACGAATAGGAGTGACTTGCAAGTTGAGTGTGGCGATAAAATAGGTGAATAAAATATAGGTAAACTGTTTCACTTTGTATGTGGAAAAATATAAGTGTTATATTTAAGTTAAACGCCTTCTCGGCTCAAGATCATCATCGAATGTGGGCTCTGGGAATTATGTTTCCTCCATTGGGTCCTGCTTTCTTGAGAGGAAAGGTGAAAAAATGTGTGAGCATTTCGCTCGACCCACTTGAGGTGCGCCCCACTTGAAGGAGAGAAAAGCACCATTGGTCTGAGGGAAATTATATACATTCACGCTTATTCCGGTATAGATTCATTCAATGTGGAAGAATTGAGGAGTGCGAGCAAGAAGATGAAGGAGAGAATGTACACAAGGAACGCTGGATGAAAACATGGTAAGGTAAAATGGAATGTATTTGAAAAGGCTGGTATTATAATTTGATCATCTCTAAGGCAGCCTAAATCGTTTTTCGGAGCAACTTGAAAAGGATGTATATTATGAAATTTAAAAAGGGCACTCACTTTCGTAACAAGATATAATTCAATAAATGCGACAAAGATTTTCTCATTTTACTTCAGCCCAGAGAGTGGCAAAATAAATATTCTCTCGCCCCTATGACAACTTGCGACTCGAGTTAAGTAAAGGAGAAACTTTAAAAATTCCATTCACATTGTTAAGTTTCCTGAAATCACGGGACATTTTCACTGCCAAATTACTCAAGTAACGGCAATGTTTTTTATTTAATTTAAAAATAAGTCTGGCAATGTGATATTTTCAGGCATAAGCAAAACACAGTGTGATATGTTTTAAAAACCATACACAAATGTTCACACTGCGATACTCAACAATGTGTAAATTATGCTTATGCATCTATTTTTAGCACAGTATACATAAACTTCTCATAGTATTTTATTAATAGAGTAATAAGTATTTCTTATAGACATTTATGCTCCACTTTTCACTGAAAGAAACTCAATTGCCGTGTTGTTTGTTGGCAAAATTCAACTAATGAGACATATTCTGGGTGTGTGCCTCACAAATATATGCATGTGGATGTGTAATAATTTTAGTATTTTGCGCCGAATGTGAATTTCGTTTAGATCAACCCAATGAAGCGTCAAAATCCGGATAAACATCAAAAGCACACATTTTCTGCAAACAAAGCTCAAATGCAGGGAAATCACTATCAGACAAACTAATTGAAAACTGCAATTTGAAGTGGTGTGTTTACCATGATGTTCATGATATACGAAACTTCCAAAGGATATGGTTTGCAAAACATTGACTTTTGAGTGTCAGTGGCAAAGAGGCAAAAATTCTGAGTATTCTCATCCAAATTTGGGGGCCATTCATCCACATTTGCCAGACACAGCGATACATCAGCCCTGAGCTTTGTTTCGTGACACCCTTTTGCAGCCCCTATACCTCCCCGTCCGTATAAATTGTGGTTTGCTGGGCAAAGTGAAATATGATAGTGACTCACTATGATATCTCCATAATGCATGCAATGTTTTCAGCAATAATCCGATAATGAACCAAAAATTTTTCCCACCGTAAAAACATACCATCATAATTACTATCACTCAGCCTGTCATTAGAGATTTTACAGTGTGAAAAGTTTTGACCACCTCAAATTGCTAATCACTTTGTGTTGTAGGAAACAAAGCACTTTGCAGAAACACTTGAAGAACAATTCGAGCTTTCTGCCTCGAGAACTTTCCCAACAACCCCTGCCCTCCGACAAGAATTCCCAGTGAGACTTAGACTGTGTTTAAGTGCCTCTTGTTGTGCTATTTCGTAAATTTGAAGGAATTTCGGTGCGAGATTTATTGTAAGAGCCAACGATAAAGTGCGGCCCATTAATAAATTTGCTCGTTTGGTCCAGAAGGGTATGGGCGAACGGCGTTGCGTCGGCAAATCTGGTAATCGAGCATTTCGAAAGACGATCAGTCGGAATTCCTAAAATTTCGGAGATTCCTTCCACTCTCCTGGGCATAGTTCCGCCAGCCGGCGAACGGATAAGGACTGTCCTGGGGGCGGCGGAAGGAAATCTAATCTAGCGTTTATTTATTTTTACGGATACACATTAAATTATAATGAAGTCGAGAATATGGAGACGACGCCCTTCGCTCAACGACTCGGTTATTTTTCTCAATTGGATCTCCGGGAATTCGGGGCATAGGGACCAAAGCCAGGGGGAAATTGTGCCAAAAGGGGGGTTTTTCTTAGGAAATTTCAGGGTGTTTTTCTACAAAGTCAGCTTCGACCCTCCTCCTCTCGAAACCCCCCCAAAAGAGTGCCGAAGCTACGAGCATAAATTGATGGTGATTGTAATGAATTGGAGTGTAGAGGGAGTTTTTTTTCGATGAAAAATGCTGAATTATTTTTTATGCCAATTTTTCACCATTTTGCCACCCGTGGAAATCCTTCGAGGTGCATTTATGCGTGTCTTTTAAATTACATCTCGTCGAAGGAGATTCCGAAACTTACTCAAGCCTGTGTAATTTTTATACATATAAGGAGAGGTATTTTTCCGAGTCCCTTTTGAAGGCATGAGAATGTGCCGGGGTACTTTCTCTAACACACCAATAATGAAGATAACTTACGCTTGATTACAATTTCGACGTGTGTATCCAATGGGAAATTTTCTTGATAAATTAACTCGATAATTTCATACAGAGGACCTCCGTCACTGTTCCCTATCTCGTATCACTGGCACTCGCACTGATACAATCAGGTGTTAATTTGACACCTGCCCCGTAATCACACGCAATTTACATAGACAAGTCCACTATTTACTTAGTATTAAACACTGAACCACGCAGACTGATTGTTTCTCATCCGAACGAGCAACACCAAAAATACTATTTCGTTGTGTTATTAATAGGAGTGCGAGATGAATGTTTTGAAATATGATTCATGTGGCAATGCCTGCACGGGACCAGCACTCGGCTGCGGACCGCACTGTCTCCTGCGGCTGGGGTCCATCTGAAGGTGATCTGCAGGCCCTGCACAGGTTCCTAACTAACTTTGGGTGACACTGCGAGATGCTCAGCGCGCGAAGTCTCACATCACACTGATGCTGAGGACGAGGGCTCTATCTTCTGCCACGTGTCGCGCCCAACTGCACTTTTCGCGGTGCCAATACATCCCCAAAACGCCGAGAGACGCGCCTCGGCGCCACGGCCCGACGGCAGCCCGAAGCGCCCGCCACATGCGCACGGGCGCCCCTTTTCCCAGGGCTGTGCTCAGCCTCAAAGAGAGCGCGGCAAGAGAGAAATGAGCACCGAGACTCACCCAAACTTTGACGAATGCGAGCTTTTTCCATCTGACAAGTTACTTTACAGCATCCCATCCATTTAACTTCAGCCGCCCCGACACACCACATCAGCGCACAGGTGGAAAGTTATTCCCCGCAGGAACACCATGAGTTCTCCCGCCCAAGGAACTCTCAATTCTTTCGCCACACACTCATGCACTGTGTGTGTGCCGCTATGCACCGTGGGGAAGATTATGAAATTTCAATAGAGTGCATTTAGCGAGGTGATTTTGCTGATAGATCGAGTCGTAAAAATGAAAAGAACCGCGCCAGCATTTATGTATTCCCGGTGGCTTGACTGTGAGCAGCTGCTAATGCCAGGATTTTACGACACTTTGGTTACTGTCTTGGAATAAAACCAAATTTTTTACACATTGCTCCAAATATTTTAACAAGCTTCTAATTGCTTTCGCGCCGCCATGCCTATAATGAAGTCTTAAAAACTATACAAAGTACTAATTTTATGGTCCTCGGTAGACTGAATATTATTATTTTTTAATTAAACAGTGATTTTTATAGTTTTAGGATCGACATCTATTTTTATGAATATTATATTAGCTTGATTGCTTTTAATTGATTGATTAATTTAATTAAACGTGCTTCGCAAATGAGTTCAGTTATGCAGAACGCAAAATTGAATTTCCATCTGCAACCCCTCCCGCATCCACATATCCCGCGCAAAATCATATCATTTTATGCAAAGAAAGAAAATGCCAATATTCTCATGCCTAATGTGTACATAGAAGTGGGTATTTTGTAAAATTCGCAAACTCTTCTCCGGATCCGCAACCGCATAAATTTTGCGGAGGAGAAAGCACACAGATCAATAAATGTTTAGCCCCGAAAATTCCCTAATTGAACATAGCTGAAATCGTGAGATAACTTTTGCGATAGAATAGAGTTCTTACATACATATTCAAATAGCACTGTGAAGGAGTTTTCGGACGATTTGAAATTGCAAGCACCCTAGAAAGCCCTTGAACAAACACAATGCGTGACTCTGCATATTATATGTGGTTTTCCCTCTGCCTCACCCATAAATTCAATAAATTTTCGGCTCAAGTTACTTTTTCAATGCATCGACAATTTTTTTATGACTCCAAATTGTATTTTCATCGCTCTGATACACACTTCTTTTGTCTCATAAATGGATTTTTAACATATTTCATCAAAATGTATATTCAGATAAATTTATTCTCTGTGCTTTTCTTCTTTCAGCGCGAAATGGAATATCTCATTGCAAATGCAGAGCCGCAGAGTCTGAAATTATGTCGCTTCAAATTATTTTAATTAACACCTTTTGGAGTTTGAATGATTTTTCAATTGGCGCCCGCAGCGATAATTTCTATAAATTCAGCTCGAAATTATATACACGCTAAACGACATCCATTGGTAGAAATGTGTGAACGGAATGCATCCATAAACAATTCATCAGGCACCTGTTTATGTTGCCGTAATCACATCATAATTAATATTCAAACCGATTTTATGTAAATGTGGGAGGAATTCATCTTTCTCTTTCGTTTGGCGATGCCAATGACAATGTCTTGTATTCCATTGGGTCCACGATAATAAACTGACTGGAGATGTAATTAAGTAGTAACTTAATTTGGCAATCAATCAATAAGATATTTCTAGAAATAGCATTTGGTAGAAAATAATCCTCTTATCAGTTTTACACTTCCGAAATTTCCACTCGCGCCCCGGTGGAAATGAATTCCTTGATGTCGTGTGTGGGGATGTAAGGTAAATCTACACTCCATTGCCAACTACACCTACACTTTCTGCCTGTGCCATGTATGAATTAATTTATTCAGGTACTACTAATTGTTCATTACCACTATCCTCGTATGAGAAATCTACAAGGAGGAATTGCGTGATCATTCTCATGATTAAATAATTATCGAGGACATAATTAGGCAGTTAATTTATGCATACGATTTGTTTTCTTTTCTCCCACCATTTTCACGTTGTTGAATAACATGCTCGCCCAGTTTTTCAGCCCATGCGAGCTTTTCAGTGTGTGAAGTGTCATGATTTAGAAATTACCCGTGCTGTGGGCTGGATAGTGACCGATAAATCCTCAAATTCATTAACGCTTTATTGTGCAGAGCTCGTGTATTGTAGCTGTGAGGCCAATAATCATCTTCTTCGTTAAGATGTTGAACTAATAACAGAGATGATAAAGGGATATATTCATCCCTTTCGCCCAGAAGCATTGGAACAAGATGACTCATCATGGTTCGTTAACGATAATGTTTAATGAATTTGTGTCACTTTGCATGCCAATACTACCATAACACAATAATTCCTCATCAATTACATTCAACTTGCGGTTTCTCAGATTGTGCTGCATGATTGTCACACGCATGATATTGGCGAACAAATACACAAATATGAAATACTATAGAGTCTGACATTTAAATCCGGAAGTCAACAGTACAAACATGCTCGTTATTTGTCGTACGTACACCGTGAATTTCGCTCCAAATGCAATCTTCCCCGGCTCGATGCCACATGCCCCAAATTCGCGATTATATTTATCAAGGAAAAATATAAATTGAACAGAAGAGAAACATTTTTATTTGTTTAGTCGAGGAGATGTCAAATGAACCGGAAATGATTTTCTAGTGAAAATTCACGGAAATGCACAATCCCCCGTGAGTTCTCAATAGTAAATAGAATTGCCCTCCGAGGCGTTTCATACAGACAGGGTGAAATGCTGTGTGAGGTGCCAACGAAAGCACCATATTTACAGTATGTGTGAGTTTATGAAATAACTGACGCTACAGACAAATAAAATGTTCTCTCTTAGACGTAGCCATTGCCTCCCCGAAGAGGGTGGAAAAATGTGCACGAGGGAATCTTCAGTGTTTTCCCAAACATTCTATCCACTTCGGTCGTCCCAATTGAACTTTGCCAATGCTCACCTGGGCATCGAATATATCCACCTTATATACACGTGCCATGGCGCAAACCCTTCTTATGTGCGGATAAATATTTACTCCCCATCTCAGAAGACACTCTCCATCGGCGTTAAGTTCGAAATATGCAAAATCTCTATCGCCATTTCGACACTCGATGCTCTGTGGCGATGGAGAAGCAATGGTATTTCACTGACTAAACTGAGTGGAAATATCTTAATAGAAAGCAGCGTCATTTGACCTGTTTTTTTTAACATCAGTAAAATTTGCTAAAGCAAATATTTTTCTTCTAACATTTGCCTCAAGGAGCAATTTAAATATGTATTTTCTTATTTTCCAATTCCTTCATCCGATATTGTATCCACAGAATTACCATAACAGACGAGATATTGTGAAAAAGTAATCGACAATATGCAAAGATGCGCTCGGTGTTTGTTTTTTTATAGTATACAGGAAGACAACTTCATAATATTCTCAGTGAGAGTATATTTCAATATCCTTCAAAAGTCATGATGCATTCCCGATTTTAAGAAACTTTTTCAGACGTTCAGCCACATTGTTCCACAGGATCTATTAGTATTCTCATGCAATTCTCACTTTGATTTACACCCAACGAGACTGAGTGTGAAAATTGGCGCAGAATTGCACTTAAGATTTGCAAAGTATTACCGAATTAGGGACTTGGCATCGGTGGCCTGGATTTTTTCTTCCCGTGCCAAACAAATGCTCAGTGATGTGTCCTATTAAATTTAGTGCCGAAAAGTCCCCCTTCAGCAAGGGACTGCGTGATATTTGAACATGGTATTCATAGAGATGTCGTATAAATTTTTGTGACTCTGTTACATTGTATTCGCCGCCTTGGAATTTCGACCGTCTGAGAGGTGGGGACTCTATATAGAGCACTATATCAAAATTGTGTATACATTCTGTCTCAGCGAGATGTATCCCAAATAATTTCTGCAGTTCTGGTTAAGTTCCCACACCATGGCCTCCAACAGCCACTCCAACACACTCGCAGCGCTTCACAGCACGAACACGGTATCCAGCCAGATCCAGAACGTTGCCATGGGTAACATAGGAGAGTGACGTCATCACTTTGATAGGCTTTAAGAGTAGTGAGGATGAAATGGCACCGGGATGGGGTGTTTGAACTACATAAACATGGGGTGTGCATGAGGCAAATAGGAGAAGAAGTATCCTTCTGTTGCTCCCTCACTTCGATGATGACGGCGCGAATGCTATTATGGAGCCGAAAATGGCACAGATGTAATCAACAATCGTCTGCAATATGTGTTACAACTGCCAGGATTGGTTTCGCATCAAAGGAGGAAATATCTGGCGGCTGAGTGTGCGTATTTTTTGCACTGTCAAATTAATACTCTCGTATTTCACAATTTATTGCACATAATTACTTTGGAATGTTGTATGTGAGCTTTTAGAAATCTAGCATCTAATTACCTAAGATACTTCCCTCTTTCCTCGTGCTATGAGCGATGGTGTGACAAAAAATTCAACCGATCCTCTGCGATTGCCATCAACGAGAATTGTATTAGAGTTTTCGTCTGAATTTTCAATTTATCCGCCACCAATTTTATCGAAATTCTTGGTCCAGATACTTTGGGATCTGTCACATGTGAAAATCCCACTCATCAGCGCTGGAGAGTCTGCAGAAATGCAATTTCGATGCTTCAGGACTGCCTGTATTAAGAACATCAAACAGTAATTACGCTGCTCAAGAGCTGAACGACGCTCACGCACAGGAAATCCGGCAGTACCTTCACTTGGCTAAGAGGATGAATTTAACATAGAGTGCATTAGCAAGGGCTGAATACAAAATCACACGGAAGGATCTCTGGACGAGGCGAAAGATGGAAGAGGTGAGGTGACAGGTAGAATGAAGATGCATTAGGTCGCAGTAAATGAATGACGGTCCATAGATTAATTCAATTCTGACCTCAGTAATGCATTAAGCTTACACAGTCTTTACTTATGTGAATAATTTAGAGAGAAAAAAAGAAGATGAGACGCACTATATTTTTCCTACACTCTAAAATAGTTTGTGAGCGCTTAAATTGTTTTGTGTTCCGCTGCACTTCTTATATTAAAAATGCAAAGTATTTTAATTGAAGTTGAGAACAAAGTGAAGAGGTGAAAATTGCAAGCATTGTTTAATCCAATTTAGAAATGTTGATATATATATAGTGGAGCTGCAGATAAGGCGAGAATTCATGAAAGTTTTCTCAATAGAGGTGAGAAAAATCCATTTGGAAATTGAAAATGGCGAAAATCTAATGTAGTAAATTTTGTATAATAAGCTTCGGAAACTTTTCAATCATCTCATGGGTTGAGGAGCAAATTTATGTACATGCAATATACATAAAGTGGTTACTATTGCCGTCCGAAAGCTCACGCCCTCTCCAATTCGGTAGCACCCATAGAGTCGGATTCTCGCTCCACACTTTGCATTTCACCCCGGACTATTCGAGGCTGATTCAATTTTGATAAGACTTATGAAAATGAGATGGCCCAGGTACAGCGAAATGCGCTCCCCAGGATCTCTCACCTTACACTTGGCAGGGCGGCCCGTTGTGTGCGAGTGGGAAAGTTTGAAAAAGCATAACAGTATATCCGCAGCCATTGCCGCTCTATTTATTTTTTCCACTGCTCCGTGGAATATAAATAAATAAACAGTGGGAATATGGAAGAATAAACCATTGGGTAAATAGAAAATTGCATTTTATTCCAGTCACGTAGACACTGTCTCTTATATGCGCCACTCTTTCGGGCAGAGAGCGTCAAGATGAATTCTCAGCATCGAAAAAGGGCTACATAATATATGAATTACAAGTCAACAATGGGAAAGGATATTCCACAATGTTCCATGGGACAGAGGCCAAAAATAATTGTGTCATCCTCGAGGAAGGGTGAAATTTTCTCAATCGCATCCCGTATGCAATTTCTCTACTGTCCTCTTGACTGTCCTAGAATGCCACCCAATGTTCACAAGAGGACGGGCCATGTAGTAATAATCGAACATGCTGGGAATTCCGTCCCATCCCATTTGCTGACCAATGTCAACACTATATTTTGAGCTTGACATCAAATCGAACGTCAGGCCAAGATTCAATTCTCGGTAGATTGCACGATTGTCCGTTATCAAAGGGCGAAGATGATACTGTGGGCATGATGAAACAATTCCCTCTAATCACTAGTCTCACGAAAGAGAAGACACCCAAATAGCCCAAGGATTGCGATTTTCTAGTGATAATGACTTCTGCACTGACATCCGCTTCATCCAAGGCTCTAGAATAGAAAATTCAAGGCACATTCACAATTTAGCCCAGAGGTGCCATCATGATGGCCACGGCTTGCAAATATCACTGCACAATTGGAAAGGTGTCAACGAGGGAATACGAGCGAGCTCTAGAAAAAGGGCGTCGATAGATTGATTAAATCGCTAGGAATACATACCATTTAAAATGAATCAGTTTCGTGAATTATAAAATAATGTATATCATTCAATATGAACAAGATTTAGGTAGCGCCGTAATTAAACTTTAAAATCAAAATGTAGGCATTATTGGATTATATTACATGGCTCAACCTTTTCCAACTGCAATGTCAATTTATGAAAGTGAATTTAGTCAATATCTCTCGCACTTATCCAAAAAAAACTATGTCTAACTTCATATTGTGTTTCTCCTTTGGAATTCCTGGGACAAACTAATTGAAATACGAAGTCTGATGCAGACTTGATAGCGAAGTGCTCTGGCTATAGCGGACTTTTCTATTTACATTGAACTACACAAATAAACGCAAGCATCTGAATTGATGTACTACATATTAACTTTGGAAGTTTTTCCATTAAAAAGTTGATACATCCACGCTTACTGTTGGCCCACATTCTTTGGCACACGAAATCTTTACTGGAGGATTGTCTGCAAATCGAATTTATCGTGCGTCCCATCGACACTCCCGAGGATCAACTTCTCTCTATACTTCACTGGCATTTTTCTGCATTCACGCCATCGTCAGGGAGTTTGTTGATGAGTTCATCGGAGGGTGGAAAATGCTGTACAGATTAAATCTCAAAATGCTTGAGTAGAAAGTTTCTACTTGTGCCTCTCAATTGAATTATCGCGTTTTGCCAAAATTCAAATTCTCCGGGTTAATTGCTTCAATATTGTAAAATTCTCAAGGGGACAATTTTCCATTTGACAAACACCCCGAGGGTCTCAGATGGGATTTTTCTCCCGCAATCCCCATGAGAGCTCTTGGGCCCGTGGCAGCTGTCTATTGTTGCCGAAATCCCTGAAGTTGACTGTTTACTGACAAATGCTTAGCGTGCGTGAAAGTCGTCAATTTCATCAAATGGATTTGGGAATATTATGCTCATGGCATGTACGATTCCTCGTGCGCCGAAATAGTGGAGAAAGTGCCACGGCGGAGGAAAACACCTGCAGAAGGTGAGAGATGGATGGCAAAGAGCTTTTCCTGCCTTCCCACACCACACATCGCAAAGCAGCTCAATTGATCGTTTCATTTGGCACAACTTGATGGGTGAGCAGGTGTATCAAATAAAACTTCAAAGCTCCACCTTTTTATCTTCACCAACCTAAGCTCGAGATGGGAGCCTGCGAATGCAAACCGGAGGAAGTGAGTGATTTTCATATCACACTTGCGATTTCGTGAATCTGTTCATAGCGTAGCCGCCGACTCACACTTTATCTATTCCACATCCTTTCTGTCAGGGTTCAATGCTTTTTCCATCGTGCAAATCACGCATTATGAATTAGGTGATTTTTGCACTGTACAAATAGTTAATATAAGGCGCTGGATACAAATCTTGCCAATTTACGTTCAGAAATTAGTGTGAACTCTCTTCTTCTTTTCACCTACTCCAGAGACAATCTCTTGTGGTGTGTACTATTGCAATTGCAACCGCAGAATCACACAATGTCAATATAATTTGAATGAAACTCCCTGTGTAACACGTACTAGTCGAAAAGCTGTGTGGAAAATCAAATTTGACATGCTACACTCATCGCACAACTTAACCAGATTTTCCAATTACCCATTTCATTCCTCATGCATTCATTTTATATAACGTCAGACGTTTCGTGTGTGTTTCACGTTTATACATAAAATCACATGAATCCTCAATTTTCTGCCTGCAGACCACCTCTCGCCCCTCGCCTAGACCCTGCTCTCATCCCCGAAGCTGAGGCCTCGACTCAGGCCCGAGGGTTGGGTGGGCAGGTGGTCAGTGTGATGTATAAAATGCAGCGTAAATTCTGTTTTATAGATGCTTACCACATCTTCCTAATCATAAAATGAACAACACGTCAGGAAGTCGAGGATGGGGAGCGAAGCGCTCTGCAGAGACTTGCGGCCAGTGAACGATGAGACCATCACACCCCGAAAATGATTTTACGAGATATTTCAGACATTCATAAAACATAACTTGAGACATAGTTTCCGAACGGAATTGAATTAAAGCAGTTTGGTGGTTTCACTGGATCATCCTTCTGCACACATGAGCAGAAATTTATGGGAAAATTTCCTCGAATTTAAGATACAGCCCTCTGGGGAATATTAAACACTTCCCTATCTCATCGCAGAATGAACAATCCCGGAGGGGGTTATTTTATAGTCTTTTGTGCGATGCAGTAATTTGAGGTGGACCTATAGTCACGAATTGCCCATGAAAATTAGTTAATAATAATGCAAATAAATCCTTTGAATGGAGCTTCGCAACTAATAACATTCGATAAAGCACTGTTTTAACCTTTTCACGGCAGCAAACTTCTGATTAAATTACGAACTATTGAACTTTTATGTGAGAACCTTTGTGTAACAGGCACAAAGCGTCATTGGTGCTTCAAAATGTGTTTTAGTTTCTTGTTTATTCTCTAAAACTCCGTGAAAGGCAGAAATGATTTTTTTAATAAATCCACAGAGACTGTCGTGATACTTTTTTTCACTTTCATAAAAAAAAAATATTGACGTAGAATCAATAAATTTAGTCCAAAGTGTACCGATGAAGGGAATTTATAACTAATTTAGTCACAGAGTGGTAACTCATAATTATTTAGTGTTAAAATGTGTAGATTTACAGAATATTTCATAAACTCCAAGTGAAAATGAGATAAAATCCCATCTCCGTGCCTATTAAATCGAATGTTTTGGCAACATTTTCAGGTAATTAATGCAATTAGGAGTCAGCGACTGTGCGTCAAAAAGGCACATTACATAATGCGTGATCATTGGACAAAAATGACGGAACAATAACACACCACTCTCACTTTCTTCAGGCAAGAAGGCACACTTCTTGGCATTTCTGCTGCCCAGAAGTTGCGTGCCCGTGTGATTTTGTGCCTTTTTGAGCGACCAACGGAGGTTCGGCCGAAGCCACATGCAGAAACTTATCATTCGGCGAGACGAGCAAATGGGTGGTGAAATCTCACTTTCAGTTTAGTCGTCGCGTGAATGTGGAGATGTGTAGTCTCTGCTGTGAGGTGTGCAATCAATATAGCCCAAAGTGTTCGCTTTTGCGTGTGAACTGAAGGAGTGACAGTGTCCTACGAGGATCATGGTGCCGGCAGCCAGGATTATCCGTCTCGTGGTCGCATACAGCCTCTGTTTGTACTACAATGTCAAGTTCATCCTCTTGCTCATCTTGGGATACCTGCTCAAGGGTCACACGCAGTTCCTCGAGGTCAAAGAGCGCCCCACGCCGCCGAAGGCACTCCAAGATCCGCGATACGGGAATCATAAGTACATCACCGTGAATGTATGTCTTATCTCGCACGCTCTTGTGAGCTGATAAGTTGTGCGATTCGGCGGCGAATTTTTCACGCTATCACTATCTCTTCCAGGGCATTAAACTACACTACGTGGAGAAAGGCGATCAAAATAAACCGCTGATGCTCTTCGTGCACGGTTTTCCCGAATTTTGGTACTCGTGGCGACATCAGATTGTGGAATTCTCCAAGGATTATTGGTAATACCTCGCTTTCGAATCAATTTCACTCTAGCAACCCATACAGATATTTTGGTACTCTTCCGTTGATGTCTATTCATAGAAACATATCCACAATTTCCATGCTGGTCTAGTTGGGTACATTTCTATTAATAATCTCACATACGCATAGTTACTTATGGAACAGCCGACTCATGATGTGATTTTTCTAAAATCTCAGTGCATCCCTGGTAAAAGCGATGTTTTTATTATGGCTTTATATAACATTTCGTATATTGCGACTTTCCGAATGGTAATAACTCACGAGGGAAACTGGCAAAAAATTCGCATTTAACTGATTTTTGTCGAATTGTACATGAATATTTAATTAAATACCACGCACACGAGAAACTGTTGCAAACGTCAGATATTAAAAATTTCATAAATCCGATGACATACTCAATATTCCAGGTTATTTTTTTACAATTCACAATTGCAATAAAAACCGCACTGAAATATTCCATGCAAATGCATTGCCATGTAGCGTTTCTTTTTCCACCACGCCAGACTGTTTAGCACGGCGCTTAACCTTGTTAACATTTCACGCTTTAACTTTCATGTAAATTCTTACGTATGAGATAAAGGGGAATACTCTTTTTGCCTCAGTGCCAAGCAATCGTTTAGCTCAATTTCATGTCTATTCTTTCAAAGAATTGTATCTGACTAATATATTGTTTTGCTATTTGCTGCATAAGCATGAGAAGAATATTTATTCTCTTCCCGAGATTGCGTTATGAAACTCATGACATTCAGTGTAAGTTCAAAATACAGGGAAATGAATCAAAATAAACTATGGACTCATGCTAGATTTCAATTTGTACTCTTCACAGCAATCAAAAAAATATATTTGTGATAAGACACGTGTTTGTCAGCGCGTGTTGACTCTTACAAAGACATGAATGTACTCAACAATATTGACGAATTTATACGTCCTAACTTTTCCCCTCGGAATCGATAAACGAAAATGATTAGATTATATACTCTATAAATAATTAGTCAATCAATTTATATAAAGAAATGCTGATGCTTCTTCTGCTTCAATTCATTTGGCCATAAATTTACAGAACATCACAATTCCATGCAAATCTCGCGTGTTTATTCAATAATGCACTTTCGAATGATTATGTGGATTATTCAAGTTGTTGAATAATTTCTTCTTAATTTAGGTGCGTTGCCATTGATATGCGAGGCTATGGCGACTCCGATAAACCAACTGGACTTAAGCCGTACAAGATCGACAATATGGTAGATGACGTGCGTGAGCTCGTGAAGGCTCTCAATCGCGATCTCTTCACACTCGTTTGTCATGATTGGGGCGCCGTTATCGGCTGGCGATATCTGCTCCGCTACATGAACACTGTGGAGAAGTACGTGATGATCGGCGCGCCGGCGGTGGAGGTTTACGGCGTTGTGGCGCAGCGGGAATGGGATCAGTTCCGCAAGGGATGGTACGTGTTTTTCTTCAAGGCGCCCATCGTGCCCGAGATATCGCTGCGGACCAACGATCTGGGCGTCTTCGAAGCAATGAAGACGGGCAGCACAACTGCAGAGGACATCGAGGCCTTCAAATACACTTTCCAGAAGCGCGACGCCTTGACGTACCCACTGAACTACTATCGGGCGAACGGGTTTGGGGCTGTGCCGCGAATCAAGTCGAAGCCCGAGAAGTACGCACCCGGATTGTTCTTGCTGGGCGAGAAGGAGCAGTACATCTCCCTGTCCACGGGAGCCGCCATGGAGAAGGCCTATCCTAACCTCACGTACAAGCTCGTGCCGGGAGCCACACACTTCGCCCAGCAAGATAAACCCACTCTGGTCAATGAGATGATGAGGAAGTTCCTCGCCTCATCCCACAAATGATAACTTATTTATTCACTTGAACATCCATCTGTGCATTATGTATTACTGGCCTCCGCAGTTTCCTCTCCATCGTTTGGTATTAAAGTGAAAGTATTCACCCAGATTTTTTCCTGCCCACCCTGCAAGAACCCTCCCTGGCTTACCAGCGGAGACGTGGTAATACAGTTAGTGGGGCATTTTCCCAGCTAGAGCTCTCAAATGGTGTGCATTGTGAGGTATAATCTAGGGAGATTTGTCGTCGTCGTCGCCTGTGTTGTTGTTGGTGGTGAAAAGAACGCCTCATCATCATTTACCGTCCGCTGAGAGGATGGCAATCAATCAATGGGAGCCTGTTACAGTAATCAAGATCACGGTCAGTGGCCTCTCCGATAAATCACACTCTCGTGAGTGTGTGGAGGCCTCCTCGAGGATTTGCCGAGATAAGGCTGAGGATTCTGTGAAATTATCCATTCAATTTTATAAATTACAAAACTGCCCATTTCAGTGGCAATTTCGCTTTTTCACAACACACACGACACTCTACAAGTTGGGAGGCACGTCAATTTGCTACATATTGTAATCTGAGATCGAGGAAAACATTGCGATGCAATAAATTTTTTCGTCGTCATGTACTTCATTTCTCAGGATGACACGCCCCTTGTGCTTTGAAATATGATTAAGAGCGTGTCTCTTCCGCCACGTTATTTTTTAATGTTATTCTCGTGGACGGGGAGCTAATAAATATCTTCAATGTCAACGAGTGAGATTTTAGTTAATATTCTGGATGTCCTCCTCGTCTATTTTATCACGCAAAAATCTCCCATTATTGTGACAATGTACTGCGTGGTAAACAATGCTGATGATTAAGTAGTGCTTAAATTTGCTCTCGCGACTCGCAATTTTCCTCCGCCACTGAGAAACACCATAATTCTCATCTGTGACTCACATAAAAGTACTATGCTGGATTCTTTATAGGAGCTTTTGCGGCGAAAGCTATAGTGATTCATTATCATAAATTTAACACTTGACCACATCCCATACTTCCGAAGGCGATGGAAAAATGCTCTTTGAAGCCACAAATTTGGCGAAAACAGGCGAGAAGAATTGGTAAAACGCCTCCTTATTGACCCGAATGTCGGGAGCGGATAATAAATATGTGATGGCGCGAAGGGAAAGGCTCTCCTCAGTCGACAATTAACACTTCTCAAGGATGAGGAGGAAACGTGAATGCGATTCATCAGCAAATGCCCACAGCAGAGACGGCGAAATAACTGGGTCAGGACGACGGTGTGTATGAAAATTTCATCCTGAAACCTGATAAATTCTAGGAGAAAAGGTGAGAATAAGAACGCAATTTCATTTGCCAAGTTGCATCCATACTTTCGCAATATTTTATTTATGTGGCAAATTGTACTGAATCAAACAAACATGTTTACCAATTGAGACGCACACAGAATCCAATATGGATCAATTTTTGTCCACCACCTCTTGCCGACATGACTGTAAATATGTATGATTCATTTATGTAACTTTCTCCTCCCGGACAGCGTCCGAAGCCACTGTCACAATCTCTATTTGCCATGGCGAGATATCAGAGTGAAAGTGGAAATTGCTAAAGATGGGGTAGATAACTCATTTTGCCGGAGAAAATCGTTTGTTGTGCGCTCGATGGTGGCTGTAGAGACGCCTCGGGTGACATTTTATATAGCGCTGACGATACCAAGACAACCTCCAGAGTGATTCTCTGTCTTCTGAGACAATGAAGGCGACTTAAAGTCTTTCTGGTGGGTTGCACGAGTTTCGTGCGAAATTAAAGAAAAATATCCCGAAGAGTGAATTCACTTTTCGCTAAATGGTTTCATTATTTGGAACTTTTCATGTTACAGCATTTTGCATTTCCCCAAAAGAAAATTCCCTGCATAAAATAAATCTTGACTACATTGAGTTATAAGTATGTACTGAATGTCCTTAAGAAAATCTTTCTCATCATATACGTCTCAAATTAACCCAACATGTCTGCTTTACCTTCTTCACTGTCTCCGTGTTCGTCAACATTTAGGCAAATCTTATGCGAAAAGGACTCGTCAAGGATAGTTCGCTTGTACTGAAGATTCACTCCAGCGCGAGTTTCCCTCAAGCAATTTTGATCACGTAGTTGCAATCAATTTGAATATGACACATTTGAGATATGGAAACATTTGTTTTTAAACGATTATCATAATTATTGCGGAGGAAGTGTGACGTGAATCGCAAATGATGTGATCTTGAAACACGCCGTCCTTGCACAATTCCACAAATTCCTTCCGGGAAGTGCCTTGTTTGTCGCCTCGTGAGATAGTTTTATTCCCTGACTTGCACAATAAACTTCATGTTTCTGTGTTTCGCCTTCGGGGTGCAGAATTGCGGGAAAAATGGCTGTGGTTGGCAAACTTTTCCACACCCTCAAAGTCACTTTTCCGCCTGACTTGGCATTGGAAAATGTATCAAGAGTGACAGATTTGGATCACACGAGGTGACCAGATTCAAAATCATTGATTACTGATACATGGTCGAGACGATAATTAAATTATACGCTACAGATGCGGGGGTGATGCTGAAAAATCATTGGGCCAGTGTTTTGCGATGGAACAAATGAAATGGTCAAGTCCACTGAAATGGGGTTTAATGGGAAAATTATTGAGTTTCCACTTGTTTACCTCCTAATCGTCCATTTGCCCACTTGAATCTCACAGTTGGTCGAATTCCACACTCCCGCCTCTCGTGAACCCACCTTTCGCCACACTGAGAAATAAACGAGGGATCCATGCTCTGGTTCAACCATCAAACCGAGGGAAATATTCGCACGATTTGACCAGATTCTATCCAATGAACTCAAGCATCGACCTTTGATGAACACCCTTTGAGATACATTGGAAAAACCACTCGCTCGCTCCTCATTAAAAATGCATTAATTTTTCCGCACAACATTTTAAATCAAATTGCGAAGCTCTATAATGAGATTTTGCTGCTTTTCTCTTGCACTCAATTACTTGCCTCTTGAGCAGCTTAATGCAGACTCCTTGCCATGAAAGCTGTAGATTTATTGTTACAATCCACTGTCTCTTGATTGCCCCTTCAAGCAAGCGTCTTGGCTTTCCACTGAGAATTAAGTAACAATTCTTTTCTCTTCTGTCAATCAAACTGCCTTACAGCTGCATAAAAGACTCGTGATACAAAATGCAAGGCGAGAGATTTAAATCTGGAAGTGTTAAAATCACAATTTTCATCTCTTATTCATACTTTACGTCCATGTCTTAAGACTAAGCACAATAAAATGTTTCCGCGCGAGAAGCGAGGAATCACGAGGATAATTTTTGATACTATAAAGCTTAATGATTCAATGTTTTTTTATTCTTGCAGCCTCTGTGGTTAAGCATCAATTATTCCTTATTGGAACACAAATCTAAAAGTTTAGTGCACATTTTGTTCCAAAACTCAATTAAAGTCCAATACGTGCATGCACTTTAGATTTGCCACACTGAATTCCGAGACAAATAAGATTGAACGATTGCTTATTCGCAGAGTATCTGAATTGGAAACGTTTGGTGAACAAATCTTATATACAAATTTTAAGTGGTGACTATAAATTCACTCATACTCTATTTCACTTTAAAGTTGAGGTGCTTTTGTCAATTTATCAGAGCAATTTTCCGCAGTCAAATTTTTAGTCTGATCGATAAAAATGCGATATTTATTGGGCTATTGATTGAATTTGCGCTGGAAGAGGCGAGAAAAGGTGCCAAATTGTTGCCAATAAATATTTTATTGGCAAACATTATGGCCTTAATGCCACATGGAGTAATATGTTGAACCATGAGGAAAAATGTGTAAGAGATACAGTATGTTATGGCTGTAAATCGTACAAGTCATTTATGCGGATACCGAAGCAATGCCCATTATAACCTTTTAATGTGGTGTTTAACCCTCCCCGGGGCGACAACCCCTCAACTGTGTTCATTCATATCATAACAAACAAGCAAGCAAATAAGTATAATGCTTCGCCAAATACACAATCGCCATCACAAATGCCGACAGTCTGTGATTTATGAGCAGCAAGATTCAATTTAAATGACATCACTGGCATTTATTTCTTAAATTGCGTGTAAACTTAACTAGTGGGCGGCGTTGCTGCATTTTCCTAATCATCATTTTTCAGCATCAGAGATGACCACCGTTTCGCTAGTCAGTCACACTGCTTGGGAAATTGTATTTTTGAATCCCACAACAGATGCCTTTACTAATGATGGCCACCAGAGTGAAAAGTACATGGAGCTTTCGATTTCTTTTACATCTGTTGATGAGAGCCCGGAACGAGTGAGCATAGTGTGGAGAAAGATTAATGAGTGTCCTCTGGATACGCCCAAGTGTCTGCTGCCAAAAGTCGGAGTATGTGACGCACACTTGGTATACCTGGACGAAAAATTCCTGCGGGGATCCGTTAATTATGGCAAGGCATTATTTATTGGGCTCATTGAATATTTATGGGTGTAGTTTTTGGGGTAATGGACATAGAAAATCGTCAATGCCCAGCACAGAGTGTCAATATCTCAGAGAGGCTATTTCTCATGAGAAAAGTGTCCTCGACTCGGGCAATATTTGTGTAATGCTGGAATAATAAATAAGCATTGGTGAGGCGATGTGCCAGGAATCTGTCACCAAACTATCGGATATTACTGTGACCCAACTCACTTCATCTCTCGGGGATGACTTTGGACGATTCGGAGGAGGAAATGACTTTGGGGAGTTCGATTGAGCACCGAGATAATTTTCCACCGTGTTCACCTGACACGGAATTAGGAGTAATGAGGACTGAGCATCGATTATATTTTTCTCTCATTTCAACCAAATCAGCCAGAATGTCAGAACGTAAACATTATATCTGATTACCATCGATCTTCTACATTTCCCGTCTTTTTTTCTCGCTTAATTAATGGACAGAAAATGACATCGGTACGAAAATAGAAGCAAACGTTGAGGCAGTAATGAAAAAAAAAAAAATAATATGACTAGTTTTCTGGGAAATGTCAAAATAGATTCTGAATTCAGATTTCCCAACACGACGTCAAA